GGGGATCTCCGTCGCACGGCCAGGGCGCCCCGCTCGTTGACGCCCGTCGCTGAAGGCATTCGTAACAACAGCACGTTGAGCAAGGGGCGCCATTGCCGAGTGCTCGGCGAGCGCGAGACATGGTACTCGTTGCTGTTTAGTTTCAGCTAGGGCGCTCGCTTGGCCAGCCGCCCGCGCGCCCCGCTGTATCGATTCCATAGTCGCTCTGGGCGAGGGCAGGGGGCTCTGTCACGCGGCCAGAGCGCCCCGCTCTTTGCGCGCCCTTCGCTGAATTTTCTTATAACAAAACAACAGCATCCGCGCAAGTACTAGGCGGGATATGTGCCGTGCGTTATACCGCGCCCGCAATTTCTTGTCCAGAGTGGTGGTTTTGTACCGTGCGATACGTCTGTTACTTCATCAAGCTGTGTTCCGTCAGTATCTTCGTTGGGTCGTGGCACCAAACATCAACTTCAAAGTCATATTGTTTGCGGCAAGCGCCGCCACCGTACCAGCGCGGCATCGTCACGTGCATCCGAAAATTTTGATTGAATTGTCGAAAGCTGTATGGATAATTGCCTTATGATGACACGACGTGGTGCAGCCTGATTGTTGCAGCATTGTGTTGCAGTGTAAGCTTTGTGAAGCTCGTGGAGAACTCCTTTGGCGCTTCTTTGTGGTCTCTTCGGGGCCTCCGCAGGCTCGCCTCGCATTTCGGAGCCGCCTGTAGCGCGATTGTTTTATCGAGTTCTCCTAGAAGAGTTTCGTGTGAACATTTTTGGGTAGTTCCGGTGAGATCGCGCAGCTCTCCCACGTGGGGCCCCGTATCAATTTTTCGTTTGCGAGCGCGGTTGCGTGTAGTACGAGTTTTTCTCGACGGTTCACGCTGATGGGCCGGGGTTGGCTCTTCGAGCCAGGCGGTCGGAGTGTTGTAGTGCTCGATGCGGACGTAAGCGCTCGTCGTTTCTTTTCGTGGGAACGTCGCTTGCGCTTCGTGCGTTGGCCGTCGTCCGGTGTGCCAGCATACCTTTGTGGGTTCGCCACCGATGTTTCGCGGTCAGAACGTCGCTTTCGCCCATGCAATGGTAACACTCTGTGTAGAGCGTTTCTCTCGCATCGGCGATGACCGCATCAATGCGTTTTTTCCAAACTTTTGGATTAACGCATCTCGTTCTTGGTTGATTGTTGACTCTCCTTGACCACGTCGCGCTTTCTAATTGAGCTTGTGCTTCTGCTTCGACTTTGATTACATTGTGAATGTCTTGTTGCTTGGGTTCGCGCTTCGCATCCGTAGTCAGCTGTTTGTTTTTCTTGCCATGGTGTTGTCGCCTTGGACCCATTTCGGCACACCCCTCACACGTTTCGTGGCTCCATAGGGAGCTCCACCGAAGGCCCCAGTGCCCGCGGCCGCATGCGTCCCCCACACCCATTTCGGCACACCCCTCACACGTTTCGTGGCTCCATAGGGAGCTCCACCGAAGGCCCCAGTGCCCGCCGCCCGCATGCGTCCCCCACACCCATTTCGGCACACCCCCCGCATTTCTCGCACGGCAGGGTCATCACCACGGTGGCGTGCCAGGGACGCACCGTGCGCGAAGGCGACGGGGCGGGGGAACGGCGCTCCGGGGGCGGTCAGACCTCCGGGGCGCGAGCAGCCCGCGGCCAGACCATCTCTCGGTCCTGTGGACTCTCGCCCTGGGCCGTCGGCTGCCCGGCGCGCTGCTCCCTCGGTCGACGTCGCCCAGGCGTGATCCTGGATTGCGGCCGCCACGACGTTGGGAACGGCAAGAAGGAGGACGACGACTGGTGGCTGGAGCTCTACGTGCTGCTCTCGCGCGCCACGCGCCACGAGGACCTCCTGCTCATGCGGGCGCCGCGCATCGAGTTCTTCCTGGCAGGGCCGCCGCAGGGCTTGCGGAAGCAGCTGGAGCAGTTTGCGGCGCGCACGAAGCGGTGCAGGAGGGAAGCGACGGCCCTCGCCAGGGAGCTCGGCTTCACCGAGTTCATCCGCGGCGAGGCCTGACCTGAGGAGCGTCTCCCCCGAGCCGCGCCTTCTTTCGACTGCCCGACTAATTGTTTGGCCTCGCGCCGCGGACGACCCGCGCGCGTCGCTGGGACCTTCTCGGGGCGACCAGCGCGCGTCGCGGGAACTCCGTGCTGCGGGGGGCCCGGCGCCTCGTTCGCCCGTCGTCGCTCTGCCCAGCGGTCAGAGACTGGCCCGCTATCAGCCAGCCAGTTAGCTAGTCAGCTCTCTCTGCGTCGCGCAGCGGACGACCCGCGCGCGTCGCTGGGACCCCGCCCGGGGCGACCAGCGCGCGTCGCGGGGACTCCGCGCTGCGCTGCGCCCGCAGCCTTGGATTTTGGAGTGCGCGGGCAAAGAGGAAGGAAAAGAAGAGCCGAAAGCGGGCGCGATCCTCGCAAGAGTCGTGCCGACATGGGCGTCGCGACGTGCGGACGCTGCCGTCGGGGTTCCCGCGGAAGCTGCCTGCGGCGGCCACGCCCAGTGTCACGTGTGTTCGGACAGGCATGCTCGACACTTACACTAGGCGGTTCCATGTTCGCATTCATGCAAATATATTCACTCGCGCGCAGACCCATTCATACTCAGATTCCCTCGCGCTCTGACTCACCCGCGTTCTTTCTCTCGTAATCAGATCAATCGTATTCCTTTGCGTTGTGTACCCCGCCACATTTCGGCACACCCCTCATGCGGTTCGTGGCCCCATAGGGAGCGCCACCGAAGAAGATACTCCCAATTGCGATACTCACAACTGCATATGGTTGGGTCCTTCGCCAGGATAATTTTTCTTGCCATGGTGTTGTCGCCTTGGCGTTGGCCGCGTGCGCAAATACTCGTGGTTGCCAGGCCGTACTAATTGCGAGTCGAGTCAGGCACCAGTCTTTCTCGGCCTTGGCCGTTTGAGTACTTACTCATCTAGTTTTGGTCTTGGTTCAGAAACGACGCGGCAAAACCATACTTAGTTGGATGTTTACTGACTTGTGCTGTTCGTGTGGGTCCTTGTTGTGAGGGGGCGTCGGGCTGAGCATGGCATGGGATGCACCCCAGGCAGCGTGCATGCCCGAATTTGCCTTGCCCGCATCTGGGGAGAGGCGCGCCTGGCAGCCCGGTGAACGTGTCGCTGCCGTGGCCCATCGGCGAGTTGCAGATCACGCGCTTTTGCTGCTCGGGAACCGAGGCCAGCGACAATCAAATATGCACCGCGCTGTTTCGGGAGGCGTGAGAGATGCACATGTGCGTTGAGTTATTGAAGCTCCGAACCCACGGATTTCAACCGAGAGGAGGACAGGCATGCCGAAACACTTCCTCAACCATACGATGTTCTCCCTTCATGCTGGCGCCGCCGTCTACCCGTTATTCTTGGACGACTAGTCGCCATGAAGGAAAAAGGTCATGAGGGAAACGGGTCCCGGGACCGTCGACCCACTTTAGGGGGCAGAACGCTGGCTGGTCCTGAGGGAAGGTCCCAGGGTCCAGGACTCGTTTGCCACAAAACCCGCTTGCTCAATGCCAAACTAGCCGAGCAGGGCACGATCACCGAATGCGGGTCGCTGACTCATCGGGGGGAGAGGAGTGAGGTTGCAGCGGTGGAGGGAGTAGCAGCTCGTGGCAAAAGGGCAGGCTTTCGATTAGCAGAGCTCCCCGCACCCTGGGCGGGGGGGGGGGCGGTATCCGAGCCGACAGCCTGGCCAGGTTCACACTAGGAGGAGGAGGAGGAGGAGGAGGAGGAGGAGGAGGAGGAGGAGGAGGAGGAGGAGGAGGAGGAGGAGGAGGAGGAGGAGGAGGGAGGCGGAGGTTGAGGAGCAGTTTTGTTGATGCTGAAATATTATGTTTCCCATTCGTTCAGCCTCCTGGTATACGGTGGTCTGCCAGGCCAGAGATGGCAGCTGCATTGGCCATTCTCGACCGTTATTTGCGCAGACTCGATTCTGTTCGAACGCAGTCAGGTCTGGTCGACAGGGGAAGCATCCTTTCCTCCCTCTCATTTCCTTTTCCTATCTTGCTCGTTCTCCCGCTACCCCAGGCCCTTCCACTTTCCTTCTCCCTCTTCCTCTCCCTCTCCTTCTCCCTCTCTTTCTCGGTGGCCGCTTCGGCCCTGGGGTTGGCCTCTTCGGTCCCAGGCGTTTATTTGCACATGTCGTACTTTACCCGATGTTGCACGCTGCTACTCAGTGCACGTTTGCTTTTGTTGTTGTTGTTGTTGTTGTTATTGTTGTTGTTGTTGTGGTTGTTGGTTGTTGGTTGTTCTTATTGCTGTTGTTGTTGTTGTTGTTGTTGTTGGTTGTTGGTTGTTGGTTGTTGGTTGTTGGTTGTTGGTTGTTGGTTGTTGGTTGTTGGTTGTTGGTTGTTGGTTGTTGGTTGTTGTTGTTGTTGTTGAACATTATTACTTCTAAAAAATAATTGTTGTTGGGACCCCTGGTGCACGACCCCCTCGCCGCGCCTAGGCCGCAGCCACATTTTCATCATTTTCGTGAGGAAGTCTCAGGCAAAACGATGTGTACCAGATCCGGTTGTGTTGTTACGATCGGTTTTCCCTTGCAAAAAATAAGCTAAAGTGGACATTTCTTGTTCTAACATAACCAAACTTCAAGAATCCCTTGCAAAAAATGAGGTAAAGTGGACATTCGCGCGCGCAAGACGAAATCCTTCCAAAACCTTAGTTTTCGTAGCGATTTTAACATAAAAACATCAAACAACCAATAGTTTTTCAAAAACAAATGGTCAAAATTTCATCCCGCGCGCTCTTGCGGATTCGTAGGAAACCCAACACTTTTTAATCATTTCTGTTAATGTTGTAGATTGTATTTGCTGGGGTCAGGGACCCCCGTGTGCAGGAGTCAGCATGTTAGGGCAGAGAGGGAGCAAGCACTGCAGGTCCTTTGGCTTCGAGGGTTGAGAGGAAAAGCCTCGATACTGCTACATGGTAGCGGAGCTCGGTTCCTGCGCCCACGGGAGCTGAGCTCGCTCGCCGCGCCCAGGCCTCCTGCCCGTGCTGGCGGAGATGGCGGCGATCGATGTCGTCGACGTTCGGACCGACATGAGGCTTCAGAGGTTCGACGGTACGGACGAGAGATGGGCAGACTGGAGCCTCAGGTTCGAGGCCTACACCGCGCTGCTCGGCATGGAGGACCTCATGACGGAGGCGGCCAACAGGCGCGACCCACTGGCAACGGACCAGCTGGGGGACCAGGCGAGAGCGGTCAGCCAGAGGCTCTGGCATCTGCTGATCACGTGGTGCGACGGCAAGTCGCTGGGTGTGGTCAAGCTCTCGAGGAAGAATGGCCTGGAGGCGTGGCGGCAGCTCAAGATCGAGTATGAGAGCAAGTCGGGCAACAGGTGGACGGCCATGCTGCGCTTCATCCTGAACCCTCAGGACAAGTGGGCGAAGGATCGGGAGTCGGGCATCGACTTCTTTCAGTCTCTCACGGCGTGGGAGGCCATCGTCGCAGAGTACGTGGACCAGAGCGGCGAGGCGGTCTCGGACAACGTTCGGGTCAGCGTGCTGCTAGAGCACGCGCCAGAGCCGTACCGCGAGGTCCTTCGGCAGGCGCCGGAGGAGGTGAAGCTCACGTTCGCAGCGGCACGGAGTCACATCAGGGGCTACTACAATCAAGGGCGGACGTTCACCCACGTCCCAGACACTGGCGGGGTCGTGCCGATGCAGGTGGATGCAGTTCGAGTTGGACCGCATGGCGGCAAGTCGCACGGGAAGTCTGGCAAGACAGGCAAGATGGACAAGTCAGGGAAGGCTGGCAAGAATGTGAAGGGCTGCAAGGACTCGAAGACGAAGTCCAAGAACCGCGACGGCAAGCAGGGCCATGGCAAGGGCCAGTCCGACTACTTCGACGGCGAGTGTGGCTACTGCGGCAAGTGGGGCCACAAGCGGGCCGACTGCAGGAAGAAGAAGGCAGATGAGGCCAAGAAGGAGACTGGCAACACTCGCGCGGTGCAGGGAGATGGATCGGCCTCGAGCTCGGGACAGCAGCAGTCCGAGGGCGGGGTCCGCGCCGCGTCGGGCTACTACGACGGCGTTCCCGACGGCTGGGTGGTTGCGGTCTCAGCGGCGACGAGCGGCCAGGTGGCGAAGGTTGGAGGCTCCATCCTGATCGACAGCGGCAGCGACGACCACCTGTGCAGGCACAAGTTCGTCCCAGAGGCCCCAGTCAACAGTGCGACGGATGCCCCCAGGCTTTTCGACGTGCAGCAGCGACCGCTGCCCACAGCGGGCCTACGGGGTGTTGAGATGACGATGCAGGAGGGCATCAAGGCGACGGCAGACTTCCTCGTTGCCGATGTGAATGACGACCTGCTGAGCATGGGCAAGCTGCTCAGGCAGGGTTTCAGGTTCAACCTCAGTATGGAGGACGGGCTCTACATGACGAAGGGTCACCGCAGCGTGCAGCTCGAGTTGGAGCGGAACAGCCTTAGGCTCCCGATCGTGTCCGCGAGCCCTGCGCCAGCGGCCCACCACTGCTGCGGCGCGGCGGACCAGCAGCAGGCAGCGACGGCACCAGTGCTCACGGCGGAGAGCTCGGTCGGCGCGATGAGGACCAGGCTGAGGGAGCTGTTCATGCCGATCTACGGCACGAAGTTGGAGCTGTGGGAGCGGCTCATTGTGGCAGAGGCGGCTGCCAGGCGCTCGGAGGCGGAGAGGCTGCACAAGCTGGCGGTGAAGGAGCAGCTCGGGATTCAGCACGATCCAGTCGAGCCGAAGCAGCTTCCAGTTCCGAAGGCCCCGAGCGCGGAGGAGGAGAGACAGCATCGCCTCACGCACCTCCCTGCTGCTCCGTGGTGCGAGGAGTGTGTCAGGGCCAAAGCTCCTGATGCACCTCACTCGCTGGTCAGGCTCGAGGACTCAGAGCAGAAGCACCCACTCATCAGCTACGACTTCGGCTTCTGCAAGACAGCCGACGAGGAAGGGGACCTGACCAAGGTAGAGGACACCTACGCGACGATGCTGGTGGCGTTCAGCTCTGACACTGGAGTGGTGAAGGTTATTCCGTGTGCGTCAAAGGCAGCTTCACCATACGCCATTGCAGGCATCAAGTCCTTCGTGCAGAGGCTCGAGACGGGCAAGTGCAGGCTCAGGACGGACACGGAGCAGGCGACGAAGGCCATCATGGACGGCGTGGTCAGCGAGCTCGCGGGCAAGGTCACGGCAGAGCTGACCCCCAAGCACAGCAGCCAGTCGAACCCAGCGGAGGCAGCGGTGAAGATAGTCGAGGGCCAGACGAGGGTTCTTAGGCTGGACATCGAGAAGCGCTACGACACGAAGGTGACGGCGGCCATGCCAATCTGGGCGTGGATGATGCGTCACGCTGGGTGGCTTCACGAGAGGTTCTCGAGGAGAGCTGGAGGTCAGAGCCCGCACGAGATCGCGACAGGCACGCCGTACAAGGGCGACATCTGCAACTTCGGCGAGACGGTGCTGTATCGGATTGCGCGTCCTGCGCATCGAGGTCTCACTGGAGGTCGGCGTCTGCGTCGAGGCGAGGCTCAGTGGGGCAAAGGGATCTGGGTCGGCAGGTCGGACGAGTCGCAGGAGCACCTGGTGATGACGCCTCGGGGGCTTGACCGCGCACGGACGGTGCGACGGCTCCCTGAGGGAAGGCAGGCTGACAAGGAGCTCCTCATGACGGTGACGGGGCTGCCTTGGGCTGCGAGGACGGCCCCCGAGAGGTCGAAACGCAGGCGGGCGCCTCAGCAGATCGCGACGGAGCTACCGAGGGCAGAAGGACCTCTTCAGCCTGACGCTCCCCAGCCGCAGCAGGCAGGACAGCCAGAGGGCGGAGCAGCGCCTGCTCAGCCTCAGGCCCCGCAGCAACCACCCCCGCCGGCAGCGGCAGCGGCTCAGCAGCCGCAGCCCCCAGCACCAGAGCCGCCGGCGCCCAGGGATGTGGCGATGGGGGCGGCGCCCTCGCAGGCAGCGAGACGTGGGGTCTCGCCAGCAGCAGAGGTCTCCGAAGGCAAGCGAGCACGAGTTGCAGCGGTTCATGCGCTGGAGGTTGGCAACGTGGATGACTCGCCTGACGCGTTCTGGGAGGAGGTCTCGGATGAGGTGGAGGACCCGACGGATGGCATGTTTGACGTGGACATGCAGGATGAGCTGGACAAGAAGCTCACCATGGAGCACCTGCAGAGCCTCCTGGACCATGGAGTCGGCGAGGACATCGCCAAGTCGAAGGCGAATGGGATGAAGCACATCACCACGCGCTGGGAGAGGCAATGGAGATGGAAGCCAGCGTTGCAGGAGTGGCAGCGCAAGGTGCGGTTCGTCTGCCGCGAGTTCCGCTGGCAGGAGTGGCGTGACGACCTGTTCACACCTGGATCGGCTCCGATCTCCAACAGGTTGGTCGACTTTGTGGCTCTCAAGCGCGGGTTCGAGGTGATGACGCTCGACGCGACGGATGCCTTCTACCAGGCCCCAGAGTACGAGGACGTGGTGGTTGACCCCCCGCAGGAGTACTTGGACATGCTCAGGGCGGAAGGCAAGGACACGGAGATCTATTGGAAGTTGAAGAAGCAACTACCTGGGAGACGGACGGCAGCGCCAGGCTGGGTGGAGCACATGGCGGGCATCCTCACAGACGAGATGCAGATGACCAGATGCGAGGTGGCGCCGCAGTTCTTCTACAACCCTGAGACGGAGGTGGTGGTTGAGCTGCACATGGACGACTTGCACATGGCTGGATCCAAGGAGGCGCTGGAGGGCTTCCGCGATGAGCTGAAGCAGCATGTGACCTTCAGCGGCGGGGAGATCCACGAGTACGGCATCACCTACGAGCACCTGAAGAGGCTGAGGACGAGGTACGAGCACGGCACAGAGCTGCAGGCCAACCCGAAGTACCTCGACTACGTGGTGGAGACCCTCAACCTCGGCGGCTCCAACACGGCTCCCACTCCTGGAGTGCCAGCACACAAGGCGCTCATGGGGAGCACTCCTACTCTCTCTCAGCAGCAGGCTGGCGTCTACCGCTCATGCGTGGGGGCGCTGATGTACTACGTCCAGGACAGGGCGGACTGCCAGTGCGAGGTCAGCTTGCTGGGCAGGATGCTATCAGGCCCCACCGTCGGCGCCTTCACTGCGCTCAAGAGGCTCGTGAGATACCTGCTTGGGACGAGGAATGCGGTGAACTGGCTACCGAGACCGACGGAGGGCACGAACGTGGAGCTAGTGGGCTTTGGTGACAGCGACTGGGCAGGCGACTTGCAGACGAGGAGGTCCCAGTCGAGCGGCAAGATCGAGATCGATGGTGTTCCCATGCACTCGTTCAGCAGGCGCCAGAGCATCGTGGCCACTAGCTCGGGAGTTGCTGAGTACTATGCGGCGACGGCGGTCGCCGAGGATTTGCTCTACTTCAAGTCACTTCTTGAGTTCATGGGCTTCACGGTGGCAGCCACCCTGCTGACGGATTCGTCAGCTGCGCGAGGCATTGCCCGACGTGAAGGAGTTGGTAAGGTGCGGAGTCTTGAGGCTCGAGTTCTTTGGCTTCAGCAGGCGATCAAGAGGAAGCTGATGGACCTCGGGACTGTCGGCACCGACGACAACAAAGCGGACCTGGGCACGAAGATCCTTGGACACGATCGCTTCGTCAAGCTCAGGACGCTCAACGGCATCTACACGGACATGGGCCAGGTCGCGGAGAGTGACCATCAGTCGGAGGAGGTGGACTTCGACGTGGGGGCGGCAGCACGGGTCAGGAGCTCGAGAACTTCTACGAGCTCACTCGGTGCTAGTCGCTCGGCGGCCCTGGCTATGATCACGGCGGCGGCGACGCTCCTGCAGGGCTGCGAGGGCCAGGTCGCCGACCAGAGCAGCTACTACTACGACACGGAGGTCTGCTCCAGGGATGGCATGGCCACGAGCGACTGGACAGGTTTCCTGATGATGGTGGCTGTCTGGACACTGATCGTGGCGGCCATCAGCGGCTACGCGGGGTTCCGCTACGCCAGCATGCGGGACTCGGACTGGGTCCTGGTCTCGCCCGAGCCCAATGAGATGACAGAGGAGACCACCCACACAGACAAGATGGAGGATCCGCTTCCAGGCGTGCCAGCCTCACTGGTTATGATGCGACCGAGTCAGCCTACCAGGAACGTGAGCACGCAGTCCCAGATGACCTACAAGTGGAAGTGGGCGGTCCCTCGATTCCAACCAGTCCAGGACCACGCGCACGGTGCCTTCCTTGAAGTGCGTGTGGACAAGGCCAAGGGACTTCTTTTGAACTGACAGTGAATGAGGCTCAGTCGATAGGACCTTGAGCGGCTGCGCCTTGCCTTGAGCCGTTCTGTTTTCTCTTCTTTTCTCCTCCTGCCATCATGCTTAATATCAGAGTTTCGAGCTATTTCTTTCCCTTGGAAGTTGAGTTGAGCTTGCTGACCAGCCAGCGAAGTTTGAGTTCTTTGCTGGGCAGAGTTTCAGTTGTTCGTTTCTTTAGCCTGAGGGACGCCTCAGCAGGTCTTTTGGGGGACGCCCCACCGTGACAAGTTTTCGGGAGTCAGTTGAAAGCTCGACTCAGTGGGTAGCCAAGCTTCCAAGGGGGCGTGTTGTAGATTGTATTTGCTGGGGTCAGGGACCCCCGTGTGCAGGAGTCAGCATGTTAGGGCAGAGAGGGAGCAAGCACTGCAGGTCCTTTGGCTTCGAGGGTTGAGAGGAAAAGCCTCGATATTGCTACAGATAATGAGGAGGAGGAGGAGGAAAAAAAGGAGTAGGAGGAGGAAAGAGGCTGGGTAGTCGAAGGCCAGACTGTCAGATTGGATTGGGCCCCAAAGGCCAATCTGGCCCGGCCAAACTGGATGATTTGGGTTATTCGCCAGACTGGATTCGCGTTGGCTCCCTCGCCAGATTGCCCCCGTTTGCCAGATTGGGCCTGCCAGATTGGCTTCGACTACCCAGGGAGGAGCAGGAGTATGAGGGCAAGCAAAAGGGCCAGAGATCTCTTGGATGCCTCTCGGAGCCTATTGGGATATCTCTTGCACGCTTCTTGGAGGCAGGCATCTTGGGACGTCTTGGGGGCCTCTCGGCGGTCCTTGGGGCTCTTGGGCGTCTTGGGTGCCTCGGGGGGGCCTCTTGGGGCCGCTTGGGGTCCTCTTGGAGCCTCCTGGGGGCCGCTTGGGGCCATATTGAAACCATCTTGGGGCCATCTTGGAGCCTCTTGGGGCCTCCTGGGCGCTTCTTGGGGCCATCTTGGAGGAGATCGATCAAAGAAGGGGGGGGCTTCAATTAGCCTCCCCCCTCGGGAGCCCCCCGAATCACCTCTTGGGCCCCTCTTGGAGCGCTCTTGAGCGCTCTTGGGGCCGTCTTGGGGCTCTCTGGGGCCTTCATGCGCCCTGTTGGAGCTGCCTGGAGGCCTCGGATGGCCATCGGAACCGAAAAGGCGAGAAGGCAACGGTCAATGATTTTTCTAAGGGTTTTTCAGGATTTTGGCTTCTTGGCGCCCTCCAGGGGAGGCTCCGTGGCCGCTCGGAGCCGTCTTGAAGCGGTCTTGGGGCCTCTTGGAGCATCTTGGGAGCCATGTTGACGCATCTTAGGATCTGTTGTGGGCAATCTTGGAGGTCGTCGTGGGCTCTCTGAGGCCCTCTTGGAGCCATCTTGGGCCATCCTGGACGCTCGAACGACCCGCGAAACGCCCCGTCCAGGTCCAGGGGAGGGGGTAAGGGGGAGGGGTGAACCCCTCCCCGAAGGGGAAGAGGGAGGGGTGGAAGCGGAACCGCCCTACACCACCTGCGCCCTGAAGGCTGGTGGGGAGTCTTTGCAGTGTTGATGACTGAGGGCTCAGGGGCCAGGCAGGGGTCCTGGGGACACCCCACTTCGTGCCAGGAGGGGGCACGCCGGCGGACCTCTCGGCGCCCCCCTCGCAGGAGTGGAGGCCGGGCCGGGGTGGGGGCCAGCGGCGGTGGGCGGTCCAGTGCGACCGCGACGAGCAGGGCGTCCTGACGCACTGCTGCGCACACGACATGCGGCCGCTGCCGGGGGACGACCTCCACGGGGCCTCGCTCACCCCGGGGCCGAGCGAGCGGCCGTCTCCGGTGCGGCGGCTGTGCTCCGCGCCCGTCTCCGAAGGCCCTTGGGGCGGAGGGTCGTGCTGCTCCGTCGACCTTCGCCCTCCCCCCTCCGTCTCCTCCCCCGTCCCCTTTCCCCCTTCACTCCTCGCCCTCCCCTCCCCAGTCACCCTCCTCACGTCCCCTTCCCATCGCCCCTTTCCCTTCCCCCCTCCTCCTCCTGGACCATCACTCTCCTAAGCCCTTTCCACTCCCCAGGGCCCCCCCTCCCTTCGCCCTCGTCCTCGCCCTCCTCCCCCTCTCTCCCTCCACCTGCCTGCGCTGTGACTTCCTCCCCCTTTTCCTCTCTCTCGCTCTCTCTCTTTCTCTCCTTCTTTATCTTTCACTCTCTCTCTCTCTCTATCCCTCTCTTCCTCCCTCCCTCTCTCTCTCTCTGTCTCCCTCTCGCTCAGGCTCTGTCCTCCAGTTGACACAGCGCCGCCGCTGGCTCCCCCGACACCGATGCCCTCGCGCACGCTGTGCCGCCCGCGCCGCCCGAAGCGCCACCGCGGCGCCCCGCGTGCCATGGGCAATCTGTCGGCCGCCTTCAAGGCCAGCGAGGGTGCCCCGCAAATCCAGGTCCACCATGGGGCGGTCAGCCGGTCGCTGCGTGGCCTCTCGCAAGCCGGAGCGCCCGCTGGCGGGCGCGCCCTGGGCGCCGTCTGCAGGAAGCTGCGGCCGACACGCGGGCTGTGCCTGCAGATCTGGCGGGCGGGCTGCCGCGCCGCCCGCGCTCCGGCCTGCCCCGGAGGGTGGCAGAGCCGCCACTCTGCCAGGTCGATTGGCGAATGGCTCCGCTTCTGTTCTCGAGAGGTGCTGCGAGTGCAGTTTTTTGGGGGCCCAAAGAATATACACCACCACCACGTCGATTCCTCCTCTCTCCTCTTTCCAGCGAGAGGGAGGGGGGGAGGGAGGTGGTGGTGGTGTATACTTTTGGGCTCCCTATTTTTGTGGGCCTGCGCCCGCTGGGTCCGGCCCCCGGGTCGTTCGTTTTCACTGAAGGGTGTCTTGCGAAGCGGGAGTCTGTCCACCCCCGACTGCCGCCTGCACGGCGACCCCCGACACACGGGGGACCCCCTACCGAGCCCGCCACCTGCCCTTCGGGCTCTGCTCTTGACCATAGCCGCGGAGCTCCAACGGCAAGTTGCGGCTGGAAGAGCGCCAGCGCATCGGCTCGCGGCGCGAGCGCGTGCGTGCGGCCGACGGCGGTTGCGCCGCTGCCGCCTGGGTGCGCCACGCGGTCAGTGCCCGCACCTACTGCCTTCGTGCACCGTCGCCGTCCGAGCCAACGGCGCTAGGCGGGCTTCTGACGCTTCCGCTGACACTACGGGTGGGGCCACGACGGGGGCCGACCTGGACTCCGACTCGCACGGCCCAGCGCCGCCGGATGCTTCATTCTGTCCGCGTGGCGCGCCTGATGTTCGGTGCCTTGGGGACCCGTCGTTGCCGTGCTGGGCGCTGCCTGCGCGGGAAGGTTTCCGCCGCGAGTGCCAGGCCGAGCTTCCCACTCCCGTTCCAGCTCTTGCCCTCGAGTTCTGCGATGTCACCCACGCTCGCTCCGTGTGCCTTCGCTTCCTCAAGTGGACGGCCGGCGTGGACTGGCGGTGCGCTGAGGAGACGACGGCCCGCCGAATGGCATCTGGTGGCTCTTCGCCGCCACCCTGCCGCATCGCGTCACCACCACTGCCGAGTCTCTGCTCCGCGCCCCCGCACCCTGCCAGCGGAAGGGCAGAGGCAGAGGCGCATGCTAGTGTGCACGTGCGCCCGGGGAGCTCCAGCATCGCAGCCGCCTCGCCCCGTGGCGCGCCCAGTGCGCGAGCCGAGCCCCGCTGGCTTCGGGGCCGCAGCGCCTGCCGCCAGCGCGACGCCTGCGCGAGCCTCGGCACCACAGCCGAGGGCTCTCGCCGAGAGCGCCCCCCCCCGGGCTAGCGCCGCTCCGGGCCGGCAGAGATGCTTCGACGTCTCATCGCCGACGCCTGTCCGCAGTTGGCGGCCCAGCGCCAGGCTCCAGCCTGACGTCGCTGCGGTGCGCTGCCTGTTCCGCCGTGTCTCCGCCCCGCCAGCACCCGCTGGCGCACGGCCGCCTGCGCTGGCGGGGGCAGCTGCGGCGCAGCTCACGGTCAGCCGACGACATCGAGCTCCTGAGGCAGGCCAGCCGCTGCTGTGGGAGCACGCAGTGCCAGATGTCGATGCCCAAGCCGTTGTGACACGAACCTGCCGTACAAGTCTGGGCCCAGGCGGGCACCAGACTTGCGGGAGGGGGGAGGGCACGGGCGCTCGGCGGCGAGCGAGGGGGGGGAAGCGAGAAGGAGGAGGCCTTCTCAGAAGGCGGCGGGGCTTCTCAGATGCCCTCCGGCCTTCTGAGGAGTTTTCTGTGTCTTCGGGGAGGCTCAGAAAAACCTCTCAGGAGGCCCGAGGACTCCCGAGCCTTGGGGGAAGGCCCGCCCATTCTCACTCCCCCCTGGGCCCCCCACGCCTGCACCCGCTCCCACGCCCACGCCCAGAACCACGCCCACGCCCAC